AATACCTTAGGCTTAATAGTTATTATTATAGTATTATATAACTTCGAGTATACTCTACTTATCGCTACTTCGTTATTTAACCTATATATACTAGAATAAATTAACTCGAAGCTCTTTATATCTATAGTATACTTCTTTAGCTATAGGAGATTATTAGTAATCGTAGAGCGCTATAAGGAGTAAGTACTAATCTATATATAACTACTCTATTTTATATAGATATATAACTTTACGCTATATCTAATATCGTTTAGAGAGATATAAGAATCGAGACTCTATTATATTTAGAGTATATATACTATAATATAGGCTCTAGTAATTAATAGTACTATATAATACTACTCGTTTAGAGCGTATAGTAATATACTTTTCGTTTTCTAAAAGCTCTACTATCCTTCTCTTTCTTACTTATTTCTAGTTATTCTCGCTATTTATATCTTATATTTAGTATATTCGTTTATCGTTCTCGAAGTTAATAATATAGTTAGTAACTTAGGTTAGATAGATAGATTACTATTAGGCCGCGGATATAGTATAGGAAGAGGCTAGCTTCTGCTCTATATTATAAGTCCGAGTACTACTATAACGAACTTCGATTTTAATCTTAGTTATTACTATAATAATAGATTAACTACCTCGATAGTATCTTCCTCTATATCTAATATACTTTTCGATTAATTAATTCTCTTTTAGTACTTCTACTATATTCTCTTAAATTATTTTTATATATAAGACGCTAAATTTCTAACTAGAAGCTTACTCCTTAAAATAGCTTTTTATAATTAGAACTCGTAAGTTATAATAGTATTTCCTAAAGTACTTTTACTATATTCTACTATAATAATATAAATAAAGAGTAAGTCTCTATAGTAGTATAAAAGAAAGTAGAAAGGAAAATCTATTCTATATAGATACTATACGAATATAAGTTATTTACTAAGCGAAAAGAGTTAGTTTACTACCTAGTAGAAGCTTCTAGTCGGATTTTTATTCTAAGTATACCTCTAGCTAGCGAAACGATCGAAGTTTAAAGCTAGTAATTTATATTCTCGAGTAGTAGTATATTACTAGTAGTATAATATTAAAAATAAAGGTTCTCTAAACCTATAGGTTAGTAGTTATATAACTTACTATCTATCTGCTATTTCTAGCGAGTCCTAGCTCTATTTAAGCTTACTTTGTCCGAGCTACGTTCTACTATCGCTTACTCTTATAACCTAAAATAATATTAGACTTTTTCGATATATACTTAAATATAAAGTAAATAGCTTATAATAAGTATATAGAAGAAGTAGTAGGTAGTCTAATTTAAGCGTTAGAATAGTAGAGCTATTATAGCTATACTATAGAGTCGAAAGATAAGTATATAATTATATAGTTTAGATCGGATAAGTCTCTATTAGATTAAGAAATAGTCGACCTTATAAAGAGAGTTTATCTAGATCTAGTACCGAGTATAGTATAGTTAGGACTTTTAGGTAATTCTATAGTTTCGGTTTAGAAGATAGATAAGATTCCTAGCGTCGGCTTCTTAATA